GGGGCGGCACGGTTTTTCAGTGGTTAGCACTTTCGCCTCAAAGCAAGAAGGTTCGAACATTGGTCCTCCTAGGCTGTTCTGTGTGGACTTTACATGTTCTCCCCGTGTCTGCATGGGTTCTCTCCAGGTCCTCCGGCTTCCTCCCACTGTCCAAAGCCATACAGGGTAGTCCTTCATCCGAAGGACAATTTGAGGACAGCGTGAGTAGTAGTTTGTTTGTATATATGCGACCCTGTCCAGAGTGTACTCTGGTTGATAATTGATGGATGGATGGACCAAAAAATGAAGCATTTGATTTGGAAATGTTCTTTTGTTAATCCTCTTTGGAAAACAGTAATTAAAAGTGTTGGAAGGTGGTTCCATGAACAGCTTCCAGAATCTCCCCAGCTGTGTTTATCAGGAGACAGAGTTCTCCTACCACAGGGTATGATTTTGGACTTGCATTGGCAGGCTTTATTGGTGCATCAAGGCTGGTTCAGACAAAAGCCTGATTTTGCCAAATAGTTTGAATCTCTTGTAATTATCAAGGGAAGTTCTATGAAAATCTGTCTTCTGAGATGCACATGAAGAAAAGACCAAATAGAATGTACATATTTATTCTTTTTATTTTCTACTCCGTTTTTGTCATGGTTTATTTGTTCTTCATTCTGTTTGTTTGTTTGTCTTATTTTATTTGTATGACTTACTTTTAAGTGAGACTTTTTTAATAATTCAATGTGAGATGTGGAACTTCTGGGTAGAATGTATTTATTTTGTTTCTTACTGATGGTGGTTGTTGTTTGTATATGTGTTACTTATGTAACATCCTGCTGCTGCACAGCAAATTGCCCCTCAGGGATAATAAAGACTCCTTGAACCTTGCTTCTGTTTGTTCTGTTATCTGTTCTTCACTCATTTTGTCTTGTGTCACATTAAGTCTTTATTTACAATAATTTATGTAAGTTAATAAAAAACACTTGAATTTTTATACCAAAAAGAAAAGAAAAGAAAGTACATAGTAATAAGTTAACTATCGCAGAAATTAAATCTTTCTTCAGACATTCTTGGATACAGCAAAAACTTTATTTAGCCAGACATATTGGTCTTGCAGGGTCTTGATAAGGACGCAAATAATACAAATGTATTACACTTGGTAGCGCACCAGAAATAAACATTATTCACTCACAAGAACTTTAAGATCACCTTCAATTGCAGTGATGGAAGTACTCAGATCTATTACGTAAGTAAAAGTAGCAACACCATAGTTTAGAAATACTCTATTACAATAAAAGTCCTGCATTCAGAATGCTACTTAATAAAAGTTTTAGCATCAAAATATACTTATAGAGCAAAATTAAAATCACTCATCATGCAGTAAGATCTATTGCAGAATAAGAATTGCAGCTGGTAAAGGTGGGGCTTATTATTATTAATCTGAATCTAGGGTAAGGTTACCAATCTAAAGTTATCAAATATATTTAGTGGAATAAAAAGTACAATATTTGCCTCATTGAAGAAGCAGCATTGTTTAATGAAGCTTAGCCAAGGTTAAAGAGTGAGAACACAATGTAGTGCCAAACCAAATATGAAGTTTGCCTCTTGGTCCACAATATTTATCCGTCTGCTATCCAATAGTGTCTATGGTGTATCCCATGCAAGGTCATTCTTAACTGACCTAAATATGTGTAGCCATTGAACTGGATGTTAGAATTCCAACACCTTACCTAAACTACTTTCAAGTGACCCCGAGCGTGACTTAAACATGACCTTTACATCACCTGTTACTGAAATTACCAAAAACAAGGCTATTAAGAAAATTCCCTCATAGAGACTTTGTTACTTTCTCTGTAACTTTCTCAGCACAGCTGCCATTGTGGCCACTAGTGACATTTACAGGTTAATGGGGATAGACAAATATAGTGTATAGCACATACTGCTAATGAGTGCCTGGCTAGCTCAGTCGATAGAGCATGAGACTCTTTATCCCCGGGTTGTAGGTTTGAGCCCCATGTTGGGTGAACATCTTTGGGTGGCAGTAGCTCAGTCTGTGGGGACTTTGCTTAGAGGATTGCCAGTTTAGACTAAACCCCTAACAGCTCTCTGGTTGCTGCACACTTGCTGCCCACTCCTCCTAAATGGGATGAGTTAAATACAGATAACCTCTTCTGCATGCATTGTACTGTGTATAATTATGTGACAATAAAGTTGATTCTCATTGTTCTTAAACTTTTCATCTATGAGAAACAGAACGAGCCTTCAAGGTGGTCATATTCTCACTTTAACATTTACTTCATGTGAAAGTGAATAAAGCTTTGTTTTCTGCATATTTTTTGCTTAAAATTTCCCTTTGTCATAATTATTTTGATCATCCCACATTTGAAGTACAGTTCCCCGATAGAGAAGAATTTGTTTTCAATTCAACACCAAATTGTTTATCAAGCTTGTATTTGTATTGTACACATTCATTGGTAATAACACAGTTGTTCAGGAAACAAAACCATCCAGAACATAAAGTACAGGTCAAGGAGAAAATCATCTCTCTGTGGTTGATGGTAAATTGAACCGGACAAATTTTGCAGGTTTCAGCACCATGGACGGATGAGCTGACAGACGAGCTATCCATGGTGCTGAAAGAATTCATCACCATGGACAGATGAGCTGACAGATGAGCTGAAATAATTCATCACCATGGACAGCACCAAGAATGTAACAGGACAGTTTACTCTATCTATGTTACTTAAAGATAGCACTTTTTCAATATTCTGCAGGAATGGCTGATATTTTCTTGAAAAATTGGACGCTTCCACATGCCCTTCTTCTCCCCAGCAGAAAGAAGGATAACGTCTCGGTCGATGGAGTAAAGAGTTACCATGGAAACTTCGGGCTGTTTCAGGACATGAACTGAGAAACATATTACAAAACAACGGACACGCTCCGAAAAGTATAATAACCCTGTGATAAAAAAGTAATATAATGGCTGCTATTCATTTTCAGAAAGGCTAAGAAATTGTCTTCAACATGAAAACCATCACTACCATCATGATCAGCATCATTATCGTCATAATCATCACCTTCTTCACAATCCTTAGGTTTTAGAACTGCAAGAGTATAGCTTCTGTGTTGAATTTACCTGATTAACACCAGCAAATTAGCCAAATGTTTAAACAATAAAAAGCTTCAAATGTGTACAATCATCTGAGGACAAGTGGACCCAAAGATAAAATCAGCCTCTGCTCTCATGTTACATAGCATGTGCATCATCTCTGTCGTCATTTACAGATGGTTATCTCCTGGGCAGATCTCTTCTGCATTGGTCTGTCTGAAAACCACATGCTTGCATAATGATAATACAGCTGTTTCCAGGGCAGATCAATAACAGACAGAAGACTGAGGACGATCGATGGAAATGAGAAAAATGATAATAAACTATTCCCTAGCTGGGTCTGCACACTTTAATATAAGTACATGGCTCTAAAGAAAACATTATTTTAGGATTAGGAAGGATTAAATCAAACTGCAAATCCTTACACTGAAATATCTGAGATGGACTGTCATAAGATTTTGAAAAGACATTTTATGGTCCCCAGAGTGGATAGCATGCTGCAAATCACCGCTGTGCAGCCTCACAGAGGACCTAGCAAGGCTGTAAACTCTTGTTACAAAATAATATGTGCAGCAGAGTCCAAGACATTCTGACTTTTAGCCCCTAGTCCTTGCCACAGCTCCAAAAATACTGGATCCTACACTTTCCATAATGCAACTTAATATATTGGGCGCCTCAACACCTGTTAAACTCCTGCATCTTTTTACACTCCACACACCAAGTTTGTAACTCCAGCTTTCACTTATAAATGTGTCACTTGACAAATGTTATCCAGAGTCACAGAAGACTTTATACAACTTAAATTGACCTTGATCTCCACACACTACAGGTGATTTTACAAAATATGATAATACATGTTGATTGTTTGTCTGGGGATGGATCACTAAATATTCATAAGTAAGGATTACAAATCACAGAACCACCACTTCATTAAGCTAAGAAAATGGGATCAATAAAGCTTGAGCAAACTTTAAGCAAACACCAGAGTGGTTGATAGGAAGTTAGGAACAGTATATAGTAAAATATGAGAATAGGTAGAAAAAATAATCAAATGGATCTTTCTATCTATCTTTACATCACACGTAGAGCACTTACCATAGCGCACAACCCCAGCCACGCCTCCGAACTCATGCTTCACTTTACTCTCTCTGATCTGTAAAAAAGCACGCTACAGTGAGAGCTTCTTGCCCTCGGCCATCACTGCCCTCAACAAACTGTAGCAGTGACACTCAAATTGAGTTCTTGTGACTGCACTCTATCTATCTATCTATCTATCTATCTATCTATCTATCTATCTGTTGCACTGAATATAGAGTATATATTATTAGACATAGATTAGCATTTATATATGCATTAGCGTGTACTGAATTAATTGCTGATGCACACAGTGAGACCTCACAAGACCCTCAAAAGTCTGAGAGCAGCAGAATTAATTTTCATGCTACACAGTATCTGTCTCAGAGCATGTCCAAATCCATTCAATATATATTATAGACTGAAGTGCACTCCTTGGGAAGTGGCCTCTGTTTAACCTTGACAGACAGATTTATAACACTGCAGAAGACTTCACATAATTAACTATGATACATTGTGCAATAAACTGAATACATATTCTTACAGATACAGAATTCAGAATCCATCAACTATTGTCACTTTTCATATACAGTAAAAAAAAAAACATATATTTGTAATAATAATAATAATAATAATAATAATAATAATAATAAATGCGTTTATTTACTTATTTTAGTAAAGTAAGACTGAATGCTTGATGAACTCGCCTGTTAATGATTGAAGCAGTTTATAAGAGAATCTCTGTCTGCAGGTCACTGAGAACAGTAGAAAGGTGGGATCGGCTGCGCACAGCATAGTGACGTTGCCTAGGAAGGAAGGGAGCATGAGCTCCATCCAACCTTTATCCAAAAGAAACCCCATCCTCACCCTGAGCTTCATGTGGAGGCTATGCATCTTTTATATCAACATCTAACTTTTCTTCAATAGTGGGGAAAGATGGACCTACAGGTGGAAAACCAAAGCCAGTCTTTCAACACCAACACCGTGAGGCTGCCAGCTAAACATATACTGGGAATGGGTGTAGATAACTTTATTTCTCTTCTGATATTTGGACTTATTTTCATCCTCGGTGTGCTTGGGAACACCATGGTGATTACGGTGCTGGCGCGCAGTAAACCGGGACAACCGAGGAGCACAACCAACATCTTCATCCTGAACCTGAGCGTGGCTGACCTGTCCTACCTACTTTTCTGCGTCCCCTTCCAGTCCACAATCTACATGCTGCCAACATGGGTCCTGGGAGCTTTCATCTGCAAGTTCATCCACTATTTCTTTACCGTGTCCATGCTGGTCAGTATTTTCACTCTGTCGGCGATGTCCGTGGACCGTTACGTGGCCATCGTCCACGCCAGGAAATCCTCGTCGATTCGAGTGGGGAGGCATGCCATGCTCGGAGTGGTACTGATCTGGACCCTGTCTCTGGTCATGGCAGCTCCTGTGGCGCACTACCAGACCATCGTGGAGCGGGAGGACAACAACACCTTCTGCTGGGAGGTTTGGCCGGATCACCAAAGGAAAGTCTACGTGTTGTGCACCTTTGTTTTTGGATATCTCCTGCCCCTCACTTTGATATCTGTCTGCTATGCAAAGGTGGGTGCGCATAAATCTGCAGTGTTAATGACTGATATAGATGCCAGCAAAGTTAAACATGATGCTTAATTGTGGCTTTAATCCCCATAAAAGTTACATTTCTTTGTTCCCCTAGTGAAAAAATGTTGACTTTTCAGCAACAGTAGTTTGGAATTTGTCAAATGTTCACTGAAACATTATCTGTCCAAACAGCTGACATGTCATTGTGTATAATTGTTATACAGAAAAACATTCTTTTTAAATGGAGAAAAAAGGCGCAATGGAGAACCAAAGAAAGAAAAGATGCACATGGTCAGAACTACTTTAGATCTTATCTTTTATAATACCTTTATTATTGCAGGTTTTAAACCATCTACACAAAAAACTGAAGAATGTTTCCAAAAAATCTGAGCTCTCCAAAAAGAAGGTTGGTGGGAGATTATTCCTGTCTATATTTGGTAGGTCTGTGGTGCTTGAAAGGTAAGTGTGCACAGTACTCACTGGTTACAGAGCGTAATTAATTTACAGCCATTTTTCAATGCCAGAAATGTGAGGATTTCCTGCTTTTCTTTGTCAAATATGAAAGTAAATGAAATATCTCTAATTTTCACACACAAAACAAAGAAAAACCCACGACATTTGTAGATGTTTCATTGGATTCTAAGAAATGGGTGGTGAACTACTATTTCACATTTCATAGACTAAAGGGTTACTTGAGAAAATAATTGGAATATTAATGAAAACATCATTAGTTGCAGCACTACTTTCTGCTCTACAAGTGAAAAGGTCTTGTGAAAAGTTAATGTGTGTGAAATATCTAGCTGGTAATGAAATTAAAAATGTTCAATTCACATTTTGTGATCTGCATCATCTCCACTGGATTATCCATAAAAGTGGTATCTGTCTGTCTGGTATTGTTTTACTTGATCACGATATGTTTTCATGAGTACCTCCACAGACTGCCCAGTTACAGTTATATTTGATCACATGACAAATGAAACTACCAATCATGAACTCCTCTGCCCTCCCTCCACAGACTGCGCAGACAGTCCTGGTGGTGGTGGTGGTCTTCTGCCTGTCGTGGCTGCCTCACCACATAGTCCACCTGTGGGTGGAGTTTGGCTCTTTCCCTCTGAACCAGGCCTCTTTCGTGTTCAGGATGGTGGCTCACTGCTTGGCCTACAGCAACTCATCCGTCAACCCCATCATCTACGCTTTCCTGTCCGAGAACTTCAGGAATTCGTACAAGCAGGTTTTCTGGTGCCGGACGCCCAACAAGTGCCCTGTTTACGACACCAGGGAGCTCCGCAGCAGAGTGGAGACGGCACCGTCCACTAACATCAGTGTGACTTACAAAGGTCATGACTCTCAGATCAGTAAAATGCTTTGATGCCGCTGCTGATGTTAGAGGCATTTTCTGTATTCTATATAGAGCCTGACCAATACTGGACATTTGAGGCCAATACATGTTGTGATAGGCTATTTGTGCTTGACTTGGGCCACTAATCACCAGAATCATGAATATAGCCTACTGTATATACACATTTGATGTTGTTATGTGTAAGGCATGATAGGCCCATTGCCTGCTCTGAGCCACAAGAGTAGAAAAGAAAGAGTTTAGCATCAGCACAGAGACTGTAAACAGCTAGCCTGGCTCTGTCTAAAGGTAAGAAAATTCACCCAACAGAAACTATAAAGCTCATTAACCAACACATTATATGCAGTTTTAACACTTATAATAAATTATAAATAATATAAAAACATTTTTTAAAAGTTTAAAAACGGCAACCGGCTTTCACATAGGGTTAGGGTTGTGTGCCAGATTGTTTTGTTGCCAGACAGACAGTTGGTGCTCCTAACACGCAAAGCATAAATGTAGTCATCTAATTTTCTGCAAAAAAGCCAATAATCATATTTCCCAAATTGATGAACTTTCTGATTCTGACCATCAAATGAATAATTGCTGGACACAAATGTGCCCTCTAGTGGATAAACTTTGTAACAATGTTGCTGTCTCCAAAGATCCCTACTGAAATTTAATTCTTCTTGCCAGACAAAAACATAAATGTTGGACAATTTTTCAAAACCACTGGTTATGTTCAATGCAAACAACTTATTGCATTTTACTATATCTGCGCATGGCATCTACCGTATGGTTAATGTTAGGGAAAAATCATGGTAATGGCAAATGATGTATGGTTAAGGTATAGTTAGGGTTAGGCAAACTCCAGTGTCCTGCATTCATGTTAGATATGCCATGCAATTTCCATGTAATTCTCTGGGACATTTTTGTACTACATTTTATTGTTAATTACGGGCCAACATATACACCAAATCTGCCATGTCCATGTATTGGTCAGGCTTTAGCTCTGAGTTTGGTTTTACTAATGCAGTTAGTGCCATAATGTGAAACTTATTTTTTAAAGGCACAATTTGAAGTGGAATGCAATGTACTTAAATTGAGCTCTTGGTGAAATGCATTTGAGCAAAGAATCACTTCACCAACTTTAGAGAGCATTTACTTTCTTTACCTTTCATTTTAGGCCTCTTCATTACATTCTTCCCATATAGGAGTCACCAGGAGATCAGACTCTGCTCTGATTGTTAAATCTGAAGTCTGAGTTACTATGTTCATACAATGTTGGCTCTATACCAGAGAACATCAAGTACGTGCACATGAGAATACTTTAAATGGCAGTGCAGATGACCATTCTGTCCCCAAAGACAAAAGGATAAATAAAGCCCCTCATTGGTTCACACCAGAGCTACCAGAGACAGTTCACAACAGGAAAGAAAAACTGAGTCTGGGAACACGATTCACTTCTCCAGTTCATGTTTGCAGGAAAAACTGAGCGCGAAAAGGCCCCACTCACAGTCAAACATGCAGATGCATGTTTTAAACTCACTCTACACTCAGATTTCCCCCATTTATGCTAAAGGCAACCTCTGAACTTTGTTCTTTGTTTGTACTCTTGAAGTTAATGTCACTGTAAAATGTTTTCACTTGTGCTGATTTTCTTATTAAGTGTACAATATGTTTGTGAATAAAAGAATTAAAGAAAGAGATAAATAAATAATATTACAAGCAAATCAATTATTTACTTGCACATGCACAAGAACCAGCTGTATTCCATGGATGGTATAGTTTGTTTGGATGCAATCTGTTTTGCCAGAGCACTGTTGGGCTAGTTTACCTGGCCTTCAGATCACACAGATTAGGCCAACATATTGTTTCCTGTTTATCCCCAAGGCTGAATTTGATTACACTGACTTTTGCAAACAGGGAAGGCCGCATGCTCCTCTTCACAATGTTCTCCACCCCCTGCGGTTATTGTTACCGGTATACGAAAAGGCAGCCTTTCGTACTGCCTCAGAAAAAAAAAGAGAAAAAGGGATAAATGTAAATAAATAGTATTTTATGCATAGCATGAGAGGATGTATGAAATGAGATTTAGTGTAAAGATACAGCTCAGATAAAACCTGATGAGGTTTCTGTTTAATGCAGGTACGCTAGATTAGCAGTCAGGCTTCATTTTTTATCTTTTTAGGGTGACATATTACCACCAGTCCAGGGAGAGCAGATGTAAAATAGTCTTTTGGCTAATTCTGGCACATTATACATTTCTTTTTGTGTTATTATAATATTTATATAAAATAAATCTTTTGTGGTTTCTGATGAATTTAGATAACAATTGAAAAACTACAATTAAAAATAAAATATTATGTCACACAAAACATTCAAATTAACAGTTAGTAGATATTGCCAATAACCACGTGACAGAATGTGATGAGAATTCACTTTCTGCTGTCCCAGCTTGATACATACCTCTAGTAGTAATATCAGCACCACTGCACATTCTTGGAGAAACTGTACTGCACGGTAAGCTTGTAATTAAGGAGAAAATAGTTGTTTTGATATGTTTGCCATAACTGAATACATAAATAAATCTCCCAACACATTCACTGTAAATTCAGGGCAACCTCACATTGAAATGGCCCTATATTTTCCATAATTTTGAGTCACAAGATCACTCACCAAGTGACAGATATTTATAAATCTGCATGTGTGAATATTGTAGCATTGAGAGACAAAGCTAATGAGAATCATAATCCTTCTTTGTTACACAAAATTATATATCTATGTCGAGAAATATAGGGTAAGCCTTTTACCAGCTACTTTGTGAGGCTGTGGAAGAATGTTTGACAGGATGATGATCGTTTCTGTCATTTTATTTCTTAGTTATGATTCTATTGGTAAAGATAACCTAAACTTAAATAATGTCTCAGAATCCATAGTCTGCTGATGTCTTATTTAATTTATTTATTTTTTCTCTCCATTGGCTGAATAAATGAGGTACTGAAACTGTGTCACGGCGTGGCAGGACAGCAGGGAAATGATAATTTGGTTGTTTGTCCGCTGGTCACTGATTTTATAAAAAGGTCATAATCATTACCGTGCTGCTTAATGAAGAAAATTATTTTTCTTTTATCCCTAAAGACTCAGCCCACTTAGTCCCTGAGAAGATTACTGATTACTGAAGGGATGAACAATTTGAGGACAGGAGCACATTAACAGTTTTTATTTACTTTGCTCCGAAACTGTTATAACCTCATTTGAACAGCAGATGTCAGACTAATACAAATCTTTCTTTCCTTACTCTGTTTTTCTTTTTTGGTCATTCATTCGTTCTTTAATACATTATTTCTTTATTCCTTCTTTCTTTCTTTCATGTATTGGAAGGCATTTTGCTTGCAGGTCTCATTTTTATGTTTAATCAGTTTACATTTAAATTGTGTGTTTAAATGAACTTTGGAATTTGGTTTTTGATGCTCAAAGTCATAAAATAATTGGTGGATTGGTGGTTTTTCTGTCTGTCACCTAAATCAACCTTGATTCCTCCCCACACCAAATTAATTTCTAGACCTTCTATGCTAATCAATACCACTGCCTGATAGCCTCTCCCATTTCTCATTTCCCTGGGTGGCAGCTGAGGCCTCTATCCCTCCCCTGAGACTCCCACCCTGCCTATTGAAAGTGTCATAAATAATGCTGGCTAATTAGATATGAATTGATTGTGTGTAGGTTGAGGTCGTTTTCATCCATCACTCTAAAAGCTGTTTAACAATAGATTACCACCCAATAATACCCTATGGAGCCACAGCAAATGGATCATTGGGTCACTTCAGCCTTGTTTGGTATGTGGGGGGGCGTCATAAATCTGCTGAATAATAAATATTACTCCAGTCTATTCTTTTAGTGCTGGAGGAGGTATTATTAATACAGAGGAGGTTATGAATCATCACAGGACTTCACCGGAGGGTTTCGGGGTTGCAACAAGTAATTTGTGATATAGTTTGTCTGGTGTGGATTATTTGATGTTTGTCCAAACTTTTCTCTCTCTCTCTCACTCTCACTTTGTTTGAGATATTTAGATTTATTTAATTAATGTTTAGGTATTATATAAATGTCAGTTTCCAATAAAGATTGAATATCATCTGATTATTTAATTTCCGGCTTGCTTTCTGCATTGATTTGTCCTCAGTTTTTAGCTGATGACTCTCTGGATGTCAGTCAGTCCATCACTTTGGACCAGACTGAAATATCTTGTGTTTAGTGCTAATTAACAAATGTTAGCATGCTAAAAATTACCTGCTTAACATCATTAACAACAGCATTTAGCTCTGTGTGTCTAAGCCTCAGCATGGCGGTAGACTCTTAGTCTTGTTTAAACCCCGATTCTTTTGTATTTAGTCACAAATATTTAATGTTACAAAGAAATGTTGAAACAGTTGAAGCCAAGTGTTCGAGTGTTTAATATGACCATTATGCTACATTACACCCGGCGTGTAGATGTTGCACTGTGATTTTCCTGATGTTTGATTTCTTTTTCTCATATTACTTCTGATGTATATTTAAATTTCTTTGATTTCTTGATTTCTTTCTGTACTGATTTTGTGTCTGTTGAGTATCAGTTGCAGCTGTGAACTGTATTTTCACATGTATACTTGCACAAAAAAAGTTTGAAGTTAGTCTAGGCCTAAGCTTTGAGATTCTTTTGTCAAACATTTGCCCTGATGAAGTGACTGAAAGCTTGGTTTCATTATTACAAACTTAATTGGACCTGAAAAGGCTTCTTTTCTCCACATATTTCTAATATTGAGGTGTTTCTCGATATATCTTATAACTTCTAGTGAAAAAAACTGGTTTTGAGAGAGAAATTTCTTGTCCGTGTTGTGACAAAGATACCGGCACGTGAGGTTTGATCTCTATCCACCTACCCTGGACTCCTCAGTTTTCTGAGTAGAGCCAATGAAAGGTGCGGCTTTCTGGGCTGAAGACAACCACAGCAGGTCTGGCTGTCACCCTCTCTGATTAATGGCCCTGCTGAAACATGTCCAGCCACATTAGAGCCCCATGTATCTCCCAGAGTCCACACAGGCCTGGCTCTTTGTTCTGATGGGAAATGGTGTCAGCCGCTCACTGCTGCTCGCCCAGAAACAGATAAAGATTTACTGTCATCAGAGGCCAGATTAAAGCGCACAAACGCAGACATTGATTTCTGAGAGGGAGAGAGAGGGAGGAGGAGGGAAAAAAACGACACATTTTGGGTAGGAAACTCATTCCAGGGCTGGCGGAGATATGATCAGCTTATTTGGGAGGTGGATAATATGGAGCCCTCTCCCAGAATGAACTTTGAAAGAAGTAAATTGTAAATATTGATTTCTGAAATGAACTGTCAATCTCACTCGGCGAGATTATTCCTATCATCTTGTCGAGAGAGGACCAATGAATTCAAAACGGCGGACAAAGAGGGGGACGTGCTGGATTCCTGTTAGGGAACACTCAAAAGAGCTTTATTCGCTTAGTAATGGTTGTTCAGTTTCATCAGATAACAGCTGAGATCTCATCGGTGCTGAAAAATGAAATGAACTGTGACTTCACATCCAGATCGCTGCTCTTGTCCACACTGAGATCATCAGAGAAGCGCTGCTGGAGGAACTCAGTACACTTCATTACCAGCTGCAACCTGGTGGGAACAAAGACCACTTTCCTGTCTCACCCAGAGGTCATGTCTGAGGGCCAGTTTGATGGGGTGCTGACATGCACCCCAGCATGAGGACTCCTTCTGCTTACAGCAGGTTGACTGACCAAAATCATAAAACAAAAATGTTCAAACTTACTCTTATAGTCATATCTGGCAATGCAGGTTTGGTTTTATTTACCCAGGTTTTGCCCAGATTGTCTCTTTGGGATTTCAGCCTCCAACCCAACAATATATATGTGTATATATACAGGCCTATATATAATTTTGGTTATATATATAAAATACAAAATGTTTTTTGTATTTAGGTAAATTAACCCCTTCAAAGAAAAAAGAGGCAGAAACTGTATATGTGCTAACCTAATGGACAATAATTCTCTGGATTCTTCTTCATTTGACTGTGTCTTTAGAGTGAAGTTCTTCCTAGTTAGAAAGCCTCTGAGTTTTAATAAAATAGACGATACTGAGAGTCCAAAAACCCGAGTCCAAAACATGAAACACCCCCTTCTCCTATTTTATATTGATGGAACTAAATGATTATTACTCAGACCCCTCTCACATTGTACAACATTTGTAGTGTGAACACTCCTTTATGTATATTATTGAAGTACAAGCTTAGGTGACCACTCTTTGCCTTTGTTCAAAGAAGCATATCTACTTTGTAACACAGTTTATTAAAAGGATCATTTCATTCTGAAACCTGGTCCAGTGATGAAATGCTTGTTTGAGCATAATGAAACAGTTACAGGGGCAGAAAAGTAACTTTTATAGCCTGTGCATAGGACAATAAGTGGTTACGCTGTCATATTCAAGGTGTGTAACGAGACACCCTGCCAAGCTGTCCTGGCCAACTTCTGTAGACTACTTGTTGACAGTGTAGACACATTAGTTGATAAAGCTCACCTTGACCCTTGGGCTATTTGTCCATATGACCCTGTCGCTGTTGTCCATAATGCATCAC